TCTTCAGTTACGCAGACAGTTGTTACACAAAACCACACCAATTTTATTTCACAATACCCACTATGAACGAATTTAAGAATAATTAAAATAAGATGCCAACCGCACTCGATGAAATCCCGCCAAAAAACCTTTGCTCGTATTAATCACCGACTACAGAGTAGTACAGAGACAGACCATAGATAATGAAAACTTATTTTTAAAAAATATCGACCGTCGATATTCATATTTCAATATCGAAGTATCGATATATCGCCCAAAATAATATTAGTAATAAATATCGATATTTCTAAAAAATAATATCGATATTTCGATATATCGATATTTTATCAACAGTCCTACCCCGAGCTACCATCACCCAGCTCGGAGGAAGACCTTCCCCTTTGGCCTGCCCACATATAAGTATGTATATGTTTATAATAAGTATATGTATTCTATCCGTTACCCTAGCATCCCATAACACAAGCCTTACAGTGCTTACTTTGGGGCTGTGGGCGTGTGAGTGTGGGAAATGTTTATAATCTTCTGTGTTTAATGTGTGTGTTTGAGACGAGCGTATCTATCTACCTTAACAAGTAGATTTTGGGCCGCTTCAGTGCAGTTAATAGTATCTAGGTCTAAATAAAGTCACAGACCGAAAGAAACCGTTTGTTAGCGACGCGCTCATACATTTTTTATTTTAAGGTATTTTGATATTTTTCGCACTCGCTGACATGTATTGTGCCCGGTGGGTGAAGGAAATTTTGCCTGAGATGCTACCACGCAGAAAATGGAATGAGGAGCAGCAATCTCTTCAGGTTGGTGACTGCGTTTTCGTGGTAGACCCATCTTCACCGCGTAACGTTTGGCCAAAAGGTATCATTTTGCGTACGTACCCTGGTAAAGACAATCGTGTGAGAGTAGTCGATGTAAAGACGAAATCGGGTGTGCTGCGTCGGTCAGCAGCTCGCGTCGCTCCTATCTCGTTGAGAGTTTAGTGCTGTTCCAGCACTAGGGGGGGGGGGAGTGTTAGCGACGCGCTCATACATTTTTTATTTGTAATTTTTATTTTAAGGTATTTTGATATTTTTGTGTAACGGTGCCTGCGAGCACTACGCAGCGGCTTCCCGCCGCCAGTCCGCGATCTATGTTCGACGACACCTCACGTCACCTTGTGTACAATAATTTCCACGTGCTTTGCATTAAACAGTCTGTAACCCGGATTTGCGCATTTTATTTGAGTGTGTACCTCGGCACTGCTACATCGTTTATAATGCGATTCAAATAAGAATAGGAAAGCCAATGACCTCCATCTGTCAAATGGCGCTTGAAAAGTACGGCTTGCCTTTTTTTAGCACTCGGCTAATTATGGAATAAAAACCAAACATTTGTAATCAAACAATAACAAATATTGTTAATCAATATTGATATTTTATTTTCATTTATTGAGCTTTGGCTATGAATGTTTGATAACCTAAATCGTCAACCAAATGTCACTTTAAGTTGCGTTCAGAAACTCGATTTAAAACTTTGGTTTACATATAGGATGCATGTTCGTATGTGACCTAGTAATAGTGCATGATTATTCATAACTACTCCGGCGGTAATGCAGAGATGAGCGGAATTGAAGAGCTTAATTTTGATTAATGTTTTTTCTCGCATAGTCTTAATAAATAAATTTTATTAAAAAATCGGATGCTTTTTCTCACTTAACCTTAGTAAATAACTTTTATTAAATAAAAACTTTTTTGCTCACTCTACCTTTTTCGTTTGAATTGACAGCTATGACGTCACAATATGGCGCCCCGTCGATCCTATTCTTAGATGAATCGTATTATAATTGTGCCTGACCGCTTAGAGTTTGACCGATTTCACCATTCCCTCCGATCCAGCTTGCCTGATTACAAAGACAATTGACCCGTCGAGGTCAAACACAGGAGCGAGCCGGGTCATCGTTATGTGTAAAATTCAATTACGCTTGTGACCATAATATGAGACGAGGTTTCGACACAGCAATTTGCACTTATTTGCACTTATTGTTAGTAAATTCATTGATTGTTATATATTTGACATTATGTGATGGAAGTTGACCTCAACACATGTTTGCAAGTTTGATGTCAACTTTCAATTGGACGACACTGTATGAAATAAAACAGGGAGAAAAAAGCAGCCCTTGCTGAGTTTCTTGCCGGTTCTTCTCAGTACAAGGTCTCCCGCCGTAGTTTTGCGAACCGATGGCGTAGCTTTTCGACATTCACAAGTGTTTGTAACAGCCTAGACTGAATAAACGATATTGAATTTTGAATTTTTGAATTTTGAATTAATTTGGGTAAATTAGCGATTGGAGAATCAACTACCTATTGACACCAAATAGTCTAAAGTGAGGAATATACCCAATGACGTGTAATATATAAACAAGTTATCCATCCATCATCCATCCATCAGCCTTTCTCCGTCCACTGCTGGACATAGGCCTCCCCCATGGAACGCGACAATGCGCGGTCCTGCGCTATCCGCATCCAGCGGCTCCCAGCACATTTGACGATGTCGTCAGTCCACCTTGTTGGGGGCCCCACGCTGCGTCGTCCGGTACGTGGTCGCCACTCGAGGACCTTTCTTACCCAACGGTTGTCAGATCCTCGAGCGATGTGGCCTGCCCATTGCCACTTCAGCGTGCTAACTCTTCGGGCTATGTCGTACACAACGGTCCTTTTACGCATCTCCGAGCATAGCCCTCTCCATAGCACGTTGCGCGACTCTGAGTTTTGTTATGAGGCCAACATTCAGAGACAGGTTATACGCCAACATTATTGTTTTTTTTAAATGGCACTAGTAATTCCTGCCCCAAATTCCCTTGGTTTTTTGAAGTTATACTTCTTTAGGCGCGTTATGAAAAAATGATGAGAGTGAAATTTTAAGATGCGCGCGCATCACTGTAACACAAAAAATTAACAGCATGAAGTTGGTCGCTAAGGCGCGACCAACTTCATGCTGTTAATTTTTTCGCTTTAGCGACCAACTTCATGCTGTTACTTTTGTGTTTACCGCACATTAAGAAAATCTACCAACAAAATAGAAATAAAATCTCTATTTAGTGGGTGCTAACGACTGCATTGTGAAGGCCTATCAAAAGTATTTATTAATCTGGAACAACGGAACCAAAGCGCGATTCAGGAGACTACAGCGCCATCTCTTGACCATTGGTGTAGTAGAACCAAAAACCACATCTTTATTTTTTGTAATAAAGTAACAGTTATAGGTATTCATATTTATAATATTTATCCTGTATATATGTTTCTAGTTTGTATATTCGGAATACGTGTTTGAGTTTCATACAAGTGCAAATCACATATGTTCTAATAAATTATATTCATTAGCGATTTTAATTGAATATTTTGATTATTTATTTATTTTTTCAAATTAAACTGAACTTTATTGACTGTGTCCTTTTCCAGACTTTTTATTAATTTATTGTAATTAATTATTTGCATGCAATTAAAAACTAATTTTAAACGATGCCAAAGAAGGATAACTTCTCACGCGCCTACATAAGTACACGCACCCATTTTTTTCCCTAAATGGCTTCGCACGGCTTGTGCATTTAGCCAATGTCAAGTGTTAAAAATGTTTACAAATTCTATAGCACTCGTGGTCAAAGTAATAAATTAATTCAAAGTAAGTGGCAGTTAGTCAATCCCCATTTCCCTATGTTTCAGTAAATGTGTGGAGATTTACTGGAACCTCCCCGTGGACTTCTTGAGGGAACGTCGAAAGACACTTTCCGCTCTTTTGTTTCACTTGCCAACGTTTTGTGGTTAATAATCCACCGTTATTAGACACTAACATCCGCCACAACACAATTTTTAACAAGAAAAACAAAACTGCTAAAGTGACGTTTTCTTTAAAACTGTACTTACGTATGAAATGACATGTTTATCTCAAAACACTTATAGGGCTTTTGTATGGAAAAACGTAAAAAATGATGTTGCAAAGTGTAGCCGCGGCGAGAGAGCGTGCCTGACCGAATGCAAGTCGGGCAATTACCTGACTTTTAGATACATTTCATCATCATCATCAGCCTATTAATGTCCCCACTGCTGGGGCATAGGCCTTCCCTATGGATAGATTAGGGAGATTGGGCCATGACCCACCACGCGGGCCCAGTGCGGGTTGCGCGTATCCATCATAGATGAATGTCATTGTGTATAATACAAGCCTACAAGAGAACAAAAACTGTAGTCTACACTTCAGCTCTACACCGAAGCGAAGCGAGGGCGGGCCGCTAGTTAGTTATAAAATCGCAACGAATGCACCGATTTCGATGATTTAAAAAGTATATTAATTTAAAAGCTTATTTGATCATTTCACTGTATTATAAGTTGGTTTGCTGACCCAGTAATGATCCTCATTATTAAACGCCGAGATAGAGCAATCCACATGAACTATAATGAGCAAAGAAAACGGCTCATGTTACGCGCAATGTAGGCGTGACTGTTATATCAGGTCATGAAAGATTTTTTCATGTCATATCAGTTTCTTTGAAAGCAGTCAATGTTATGACGACCTCTGTGGCCGAGTGGTACGAGTATGTACGCCGAGTTTCAAGGTGTCGCCACTGAGAGGTCCCGGGTTCTATTCCCTGTGGGGGCAAATGTTAGTATGATGAATACGAGCATTTCCATCCATAACTAAGGTATAGTTATGGATCACATCACATCACAAGCCTATTAGTGTACTGCTGGGGCACAGACCCTCCTTATGGATGGAAAAGAGAGATTGGGCCATGACCCCCCACGCGGGCCCAGTGGAAGGTGCTAACGACTGCAGATGCAGCCGGGACCAACGGAGGAGCTCGAGATAGTAAATTTTTGGTCACCCATCCAATGACCGACCACTGCGAAAGTTGCTCAACCTCAACGACCGCAGCCGAACGCGCTAACCACTGGCGCCATCGAGCTCCTCCTAGATACATTTATGCATTGTTATTAGTATAGACTCGAGTTATTTATCAATATCTCCCTTACCTGACTCGAAGGTCTCAATATGAAAGTTCCGTCAGGATGTCCTTTCAAGAGATTCTCCGCTTCGGTCCTGTCAATGTTCATGTAATAGAGCTCATTTTCGACTGGCACAGGCAGCGGCCGTTCCGCCATGTTGCACCGCCTGTCGCGTGTCTCATTCTGCTCAACAGCTGTGTCGTGGCCAATTTTCTCGCTAACATGATGATGAGGATTTTTCTCGGGTTCGCGTTCGGTGTCCGATTCCTCGGATTGGGTTGCGTCGTTCGTTTCTGTAAAGATATATTTTATTGAAGTTATACTTCTTTAGCCGCGTTATGAAAAATGATGAGAGTGAAATTTTAAGATGCGCGCGCAACACTGTAACAAAAATGTAACACCATGAAGTCGGCCGCTAAACCGCACATTAATCGTAAGTCTCGAAAAAAAGCTTCCAACAAAATAGTAGTAGGATCTCTTAGTCGCACATGTTGGGACGCTCGTCGCCTCTGATCACTGTTTTCATATTTATAATATTTATTTGTTTCTTAGGTTTTACATTGCATATATCACTCATTAAATAAAACTAGATTTGACGGGTTAATGCACGAACTTTATTTATTTATTGACGTTTCGCAGCCTTTTCAGGTCATCGTCAGAATAATGATTTTTATTTACTTTGTCGAGCTACCTTCGAACCTTCGGTAGTTTACGATAGTTAGGGTCAAATAAATAAACGCAAAATTACAAGAAAAAAGAATTTTAAATAAAGTACTTTATTAACTAAATGATCTCGGGGCACAGTGATAATAATAATATTCTGCGGTTCCTTATTGCGATATTTTTAACAGTATTGTGGATTGACAAATTATATTTCCCTACTAAAATACGAAAGTTAATCTGTCTGTCACATCAAAACCACGGAACCCTGAGGAAGGATATAGGCTACTTTTTTACGAAAAACGACGAAAACGCGGACGAAGTCGCAGGCTAAAGCTAGTAAACTAATAAATTCATACATAGACAATAATGTTTCAAAAATCCTCCAATGAAATATCCGAACGCTCAATAAAAGTCTTTCGAAGGTAGCTCGACAAAGTAAATAAAAAATCATTATTCTGACGATGCAGACCTGAAAAGGCTGCGAATGATTTAATAGCAAAATAATAGGAAGCGCGAGTTGGAACTAAAAATTTACAGCTTTCGATGGTATATTTGCATGTATTTCATTTTTTTTAAGGTAATGTACCGAGAAACATATTAGGTTACAAAACTAGCATATTTTATAGTGGCTTTACTTAAATCTTTTTGGAACGAAGTTCCTTACAGCAGGCTTGGAGGCGATAGGGATTTTGCTGCGCGATCGAACTGAAAAAAATGTGATAGTAAAACCGTAAGAAAAAGTCCGTGGAAAAAAGTGCGTGGAATAAAACCGTTAAATGAGACGTGCGCAAGCGCGACAGTCGCAATAGTTTCAGCAATAGAATTTGATGACGAGACTGATTAATAATAATTACTTATAATAATAATATTTTATTATTAATAATAATAATAAACTTTTTTTGTAATTATTTTTATTTCTATTTTTCTATTTCTATGTAATATTATGTTGTCAAACAAAAATAAAGAGACATATTTTGTAATTTATTTGATAATTTGAATTACGATGTTTTTTTTTATTCTAAGTAATTTATTATTTCCTAAAATACTGAATTTCCTAAATACTTTCTTGTACTTAAATAAAAACTAATCAGCAAAATTTAAGAGAAAAACCAAGAAAACCTACATAAAATTGAGCACGATTTTTTTGCAATTTGTGTTGATTCTACATTAGCCGAAGGAACTTCGTTCCTACCTGGTGTCCCACGACACCACATCATTTTCATTTCTTTTGTAACCTAGCTAGGTTAAAGCAATTTCGTTTAAAAGAGAAGTATCTCTTCTTGGGCCAATGATCTGTTTTATAAAGTACGAAATAAGCAAATAATTTCAAAACAGTGTTGTTGAAAACGCTGGTGGTAATACTCCTGGCTGAGGGTTAGTGGGCATTAAAGGGTCTAGTACCCATTGAACCCTCCTAATTGGACCTTACCTATAAAAAAGTGCCCGTTCGACCTCCTATCAAGAACATGGTGCCCATTGGACCCTCAAAGACGTACTTAACGACACAATGGGACCTATTGCAGCTCTTGAATATTTAGCTAATTCTTTTGGAACGGTAAAGACGCTAGTATTACCAAAAACATCTGTTTGTATCTTTTTTAAATGTAAAAAATGCAAACTCCGGAATAGTTATTAATGATATAAGTGCAGTAAGTTGGTTTTTTTTAAACCAACCAAGTTTGTAAACACCAATTGCGCACGAATGTCATACAACGTTTTTCACCACATTTGCGCGAAAATGGTATATCTACCTAATAAAGTAATGAAGTGCAGCTCGATGGCGCAAGTGGTTAGCGCGTTCGGCTGCGATCGTTGAAGTTAAGCAACTTTCGCAATGGTCGGTCATTGGATGGGTGACCAAAAAAAAAAATTACTATCTCGAGCTCCTCCGTGCTTCGGAAGGCACGTTAAGCCGTTGGTCCTGGCTGCATCTGCAGTCGTTAGCACCCACCAATCCGCACTGGGCCCGCGTGGTGGGTCATGGCCCAATCTCCCTATTCCATCCATAGGGAAGGCCTGTGCTCCAGCAGTGGGGACATTAATAGGCTGATGATGATGATGATGAAAGTAATGAAGCAATCTTTTGCTAATAAAAAAAGGCTGCGCATTTCCAAATGGCGCCAACGTACGCGTGGTGAAATTAGAACCAGGGCTTGTTTACCGGTTAATTTTCAAACCTAAATTAGTACCAAATACACTAGGAGCGTTTTATTTAGGTTTGGCTCTACTTTAACCTTAAAAAACCGGTTTTCCTAAAAAACGAAATAAAATAGGTTTTGAATCAATTTAGCGGTTTTTAAAGGGTTTCATTTCGCTCTTACTGACGGCATCGCCTTCGCCGTTTCAATTCAAATTTATGATGATTTTATGTCAGTCTCTTTCCAACTACAAAGCGAGTGAGTGAAGCAGTGTGTCAGTACACAATTACAAAATGAATAACTTGACTCAGTAGACGCTAGCAAACGTGTCAATATATGCATCAATCTCTGAGCATTAACAAGTTCTGACTTGATTAGTTCAAAAAAGCAAACTTCAGGCGTTGCCGATGCTTGTACGTGTCGCTCTCGATTAAACCGGTTTATCGCTCGCTCCGAACAAAACCTTTACTAAAAACCGGTATTAACCTTTATTTACCGGTATTTTTGATACCGGTTACAAGCCCTGATTAGAACTACGTCTTTCGTCTCTTTTTCGTTTAAGTATTAAAGTGAGACAAAGGTATAGATTAAAAGCGCTTCCAAGGAGGTTTGATCGAAATTAAAAAAGAAACTTTTAAAGGATACGCACGGCGCCATGTGTATGTGATGTGGAGCGTGTGGTAAAATGTTTTACCGCACTTTAAACTTTCGTAGAATGTATTCAACCTCCGTAAATGCATTTTTGAGCAAATGTGTTGCAAAAGTTATTTTCCTAGTAAGTGTGAAACTGAAACTCAATTCTTTTCAGCCTGTTTCTAAAAGCACAGCAAATCACTCTACGCTATCAGATGATAGATGAAATCGGAGCGTAATCCCGAAGATAGCTGATCCGATAGAAAAATGCGTCGCTCCAGCTTTCATTGCCTAGCGACAAGGGGGCCATTCGCCTAACGGAAAAGCTATGGAAAAAGCTAACGCTTTCGATTTTATTTTGTTATTTCTGACCGCCGAAGGTTTGCAAATACCTCACGCTATTTTTTTTTTAAATATTGTTATTACCAATTCAAAAGAGAAAAAAAGAGCGCGAGGCATTAAAGAAAACCTAAAAATAACAAAATGAAGTCGTAAGCGTTAGCGTTGGCGAATGGCCCCCTGAGCCCAATCATACCTTATGGGGCCTTGAATTCTATTTACTAACAGAATTTAAAGATCACCAAAAGTTAGTGGGTGGTCTAGCAGACATTACTTCTTCACATTATTTCGTGATTCCTACCAGCTCATAAATCTAAAGAAAAGTTTTACTAGAAAAAAAAATCCACGCGGACCATGCAGCGGACGGAACTCGAACCCGCACCCTTCGCAATCCGGGCGAATGCACTGACCAATTATGCTACCACGGCCCTGATGCCCGCATCGAAATTGTCCTAGCCTTAAGCTGCAAGGCAGCGCTATCTCTTCGCATTGTAGGTAACCTACAATTTTTTTTTCTAGTAATACTTTTCTTTAGATTTAAACATCTAGCAGTTAAATGCTTAAAAAATAAAATAAACACATAGGTTTAATTGCTATTTATTTTTTCAAATGTTTAATACTTGAAAAAGTATTCATTTGATATTGTGGGTTACCTACAATGCGAAGAGATTGCGCTACCTTGCAGCTTAAGGCTAGGAAAATTTCGACGCGGCCATCAGGGCTGTGGTAGCATAATTGGTCAGAGCATTCGCCCGGATTGCGAAGGGTGCGGGTTTAAAGTCCCGTTCGATGCCTGGTCCGCGTGGATTTTTTTTCTAGAAAAACTTTTCTTTAGATTTAAACATCTAGCAGTTAAATGCTTATAAAAGACATAAGCTCATAAATGTCATAATTGAACAATTTTTCTACTTGGCTATTTGAGGAACTCGATGGCGCGAGGGTTTTCGTGTTCGGTTTGCGATCGTGAAAGATATACCAGTATTGCAATGGCCGATCATCGAACGGGTGACCAAAAATTTACTATTCTTCCAAACTCCTATGGAGGAGTTCAGAAGGCTTCAGAGGGCACGCGAAACCCTCGGTCCCTCCTGCATATGCAGTCAGCACCCACCTGTTTTTACTGGGTGATGGCCCCAAGGCCCAATCTCCATATTATATCCATACATTAAGAGCCCTTTCACATTTTTTGCAAATAATAGTAATTTTTGAGCGCCTCATTTATCCCCTTAGAAAAGATGTTGACTATTTCCAATAGAAGTAAACAGTAGATATATTCTTCTTATTGTAAGTTAATGTAGAATATTTGCAAATACTGTTTTCCTTTTTATTGTACTGATCGTTCTACTGCAACTAGTTTAGTTTAAAAACGATAATATGCACGACTTCAAACGCCTCAATCTCTCAATAATGTTCAATAAGTTAGATCAAATTAATTACTAAGTTATCAGAAATATATTTTTGTTGTAACGTAATTTATTAGAATTTTTATTTTCCATCTCATTAATTAAAAAAAAAAACAT